AACTGTTGAATGATTCTTGTTGCTCAAACTTCACAATGCCGTTGTTCTAGAAAGTTGTTGATCTTTTACACTTGATCAAGGTGATCTTTGTTGTGATTTGTACACATCTTATATACACCAATGAAATGAATTACTGTTGATCTAATCATTATACCAATAAAATTATATTTTTATACATTTTATATATTTGTATTACTGCTAGCTTGATACTTTTCTTACACAACTTTGTTAGTTATAGGTCTCTGTGTTACAGGTACGACAGGAAGGAAGATGTATGGCCACATGAATAAACCACTGGTCAAAGATCCAATCAATGAGTTGAAGATGGGAGATCAATCCATAATCTTCCAACTTAGAACACAACATGTACCCCTCAACCAACATCTCAACGGAATTGGTGGAGTGAAGCAGTCTGCTGCCTGCCCACTATGTGACTACCCCTCAGAGACAGTGGAACATCATCTGTTCTTCTGTAGAAAACTAACTGATTTAAGGGGATGTTTTCTTCCCAAGCTACCCCACACATCTAACTACCTCTACTCCTCAAGACAACAATTATAATACATGTACCCCCCAGAGCAGTGACTGAAGTGTCTTTAGGCCATTCCCAAAGGGGGGACATTTCTCGTTCAAGCATAGTAGAATTGTATGGGCTGACTCATGTCACGCTCATAACTGTGCCTGAACTGCAACTGGGAACTGCTGCTTTTTCTTTCCTAATCTAATCCTTACTATTGTCATTTTCCTCTACTTCTTTTGTATGTTTGTCACTCTCTTGTGACCTGCTATTTTGGGGTGCCTTGATAGTCGAAGCAGACCTTGTGCTGTTGAAGCTAGAGAGCTGAGCAGTCTAAGTCTGATGCCCTGTAAAGACTTCTCTGTTGACACCCACCCCTTGACGCTCATATGACCGTATGCAGTTGCGAGCACCGTAAAACCCTCTACTATTTAAAAAAAAAGACAACAATTAGAACAGACATGCAGTCAGCTATTACCGAATGGCATCATGCAGAAGAGTTAACGCTCAGATGCTACTGGATCACTGACAACAGGTCTCTGTGTAATGTTAAATAGGAAACCTCCCGAGGCCATGCCAAAAGGGGGACGTTTCTCGTTCTAGTGCACAGTAGAATTGTAACTGGGCTGATCCAACAATGTCATGCTCATAACTGTGCCTGAACTACAACAGGGAACTGCTGCTTTTTCTTTCCTAATCCTTACTATCGTCATTTTCCTCTACTTCTTTTGTATGTTTGTCACACTCTTGTTAACTGCTATTGTCGGAGTGCCTTGATAGTCGAAGCAGACTTTGTGCTGTTGAGGCTGGAGAGGTGAGCAGAGTAAGCCTGATTCCCTGTAAGTAGTGTAAGGACTTCTCTGTTGACATCCACCTTATACAGTTGCGAGCGCTGTAAACCCTCTACTAAAACTAAAAAAATGTTATAGGAGGGGGAGTCAAAAAGTAATGCAAGTTCCTTTATATAACTTAAAGAAAAAAAAAAGAACGCTCTGGCGACTATCATACCTCAAATTGAGGGGGAACATCTGGGGATCAGATTTCTGTTCCTCAGCCTAGTCTCCATTTTGTTCAATAGCCACTCTCCGCCTTATACTAAAGCCACACACACACACACACACACACACACACACACACACACACACACATATATATATGTCCGTATAAAAACATATTTCCGTGTGAATTTTAATGAAAAACATTGATTAACGTTAAAGGCACAAATTATGCCATTTTTCAGTTTTCGAAGCGCAAATTTCACCACTGAAATCAGGCGACCTCAGTTCCTTCAATTGCAAATTTCTTGAATTCTATTCAATATAAATGGATCTTTCATTCATTGGAAGCAAGGCAAATAAATCAGCTTTCAGATGATACCAATATCTCCACATGCCCAAAACTTGACGAGCGCCTGATTCCACGTCGTTGTGACGCATATTGAACTGAGCCTCTTTCATGCAGGTTCACAAGGGTGCTCTCGTGGCCTAGAGGTTAAGGTGTTGGCCTCTCAATCAAAGGTCCGGGGTTCGAATCCGGGTAGCGACCGAAATTTTTTTTTCTCTAAAATTGTCTCCTTTCACCTTCTTTACTGCTCTCTAGCAATTTTCTGTTGTCTGCTTTCATTTCCACTTTCTGCCCCCACCCCCTCACCTCCTTTGCCCCCTCCTCTGGGCTCCTGACTCTTTCTGCAGCCTTTCTACTGCTACTCCTTGGCTCCTCCTTACTGCTGTCTTTCTGCCACACCCCTGATCTTCTGGTAGGAAAGATCTACACCTAACCTTCTCGGACAAGGGTGAAAAATCTCGGAGGGCCAGTGTGCAAGTTGCGCACGTTAAAGATCCCTTGGTGGTCTAAAATCGATAAGAGTAGGCTTCAGCCGCCACCCGGGCAAAATTCAAAATTTCCTACCAACTGAAAATATTAGGTGTGTCCCGCGCGCTCATACGACCTTATGCAGTTGCGAGCGCCGTAAAACACTTTACAAAAACAAACAAAAAAAAAGCAGGTTCACAATCACACCTTCCGCCTCATCAACATTCTTTCCTAATTTGTTTCTAACGCACCCCATTACACTGCGAATAGTCACGATCAGGCCTTGAGCATGTGCGAGCACTGATGCAAATAGTCGCGAACAGTGCTCTAAGGGTTAAAAAAGTTGTTCCCGCATCCGATCCAGACATTGGAAATTGCCTTGTTAGTGAGACAACTTCCTGGGGTCCCTTCGGCATACTGTGGTAGGGTGGTCAGTTCCTTTCCACGCCACCTTTACTTCCCAAACTCTAAGTCAGGTACCCATTACAGCTGGGTGGGCAGGAGGAGGCGAAAAAAAATTAGTGTCCCAACCGAGGCTCGAACCCGGGCTTTCCGCTTCGGAGATGAGTGCACTGACCGCTCCACCACCGCACTCTAAGAGATAAAAGTAGTAAAAACACTCTCATTCCACTCAGTAGATGGTATAAACACAGATTTATTGTATGGTACAGGATTCAGAATATCACAGAACAGCGGACGTAGCCCACACAAGCAGAGCACTGGGCTCTCAGACACGAGAATCTCTTCTCCCTCTTGCCAGTATCTGCAAACTCTTCATCGAAATGACAGAGAAAGAGAAAAAGAAATTGCAGAAGAGCAAGAGATTTTTTAAATGTTCAGTTCACTTCATTTCGAAACATATGAAAAAAACTCAGAGATACAAAGCTAGCAAGTGAAGCACTCCGTACTTTCCACAGACAACCAAAACAAGACAAGACAGAGATATCAAAGGGAAATTATTACTTGGATAGCAATCAGTCAAGAAAACTCAGATTTATTTCTGAAAATTAAATTAAAATTCGAGTCTTGAATGCTTACTTCTGCTGATATATACATATATGTAAATGTTGGGAAGTAGTTTGAACATTGTACATTCATACTCTTTGTCCAACATCTTCACAACAAGTGAAACAGGCCTTCCACAACACTTCAGCCGTCCAACCTTTCACACCTTGTAGCAAAGATCGTACATAACACGATAGTTCACTCGGCCAAAAAAGTGTCCCAGGAAGTCCACGCATTGGTTCAGATGGCGCTGCTGTCTTTGTTTTGAAGCTCTCTTTCGTTTCTCCAGAAAAAGAATAGGAATAGCACAGTTTGTTAGTTTCACTTTTGTCGTTTTTCACACAAGTAGGGTAACTCTGATCGCAAAGTCCGCACTTTTTCGAAGAGGGCGCCACCCAATTTTGAGGACACATTTTTACTTGGCTCAAAGAGAGAAGTGAACTATCTTGTTATACATGATCTTTGGTCGCAGTTAGCTGTCATGAACTCTCTCTGCACCGTGCACCGACACCTTGCCACCTGCATACTCACTATTTGTGGGACATCGAGGTGAAATCAGGCGCTCGTCAAAATAAGGAAATCAAAGAAATATCGTCATTTTTGGGGCCAATGGCCAGTTTTTATTTTATTTAATTTTTTTAGCTCAGCACTTTTCAACTCCATTAAAAAACACCTTTTGTGTGGATTGTACTGAAAAACATTGATTAAAGGCACAAAAAAAAGGTAAATTTTTAGTTTCCAAGGACTCTCAGGCTATGGAAGTTACTAAACGCTGGCGGCCATTTTCTCGCTAATTTCACCTCTGAAACCAGGAGACCCTGACCTCCTTCAATCACAAATATTTCGACTTCTATTCAACTTAGATGGATTTTTTTCCACTAAAAGGAAGGCAAATGAACATGCTTTAAGATGATACCAATTAATAGCCCCATATGTCCAAAAATTGACCAGCGCCTGATTCCACCATGTCGTGACACATTTCACTACGAGTGGACCACTCTTGATACAAAAAAAGTTAATGTCCCCCCCCCCCCCCCCTCCCTTCATCCAACCCATCTCAATTCAAGCGACAAACAATTTATATATAAATAAACAGAAAAGGACAAAACGAAAGTGAACTATTTCTTCTTCCAATGCTGTGAAAATCCAAAATTACTTTCCAGAGCAAGAAGCAAAGACAGCAACAGCAAATAAGATCGTTCAATCATTTCGAAAATACATTTTTGTCTGCACAGGATGAAAACCCCCCACTATGACCAGAATCCTCACTTGTGGACTTAATATACCATTGAGATATTTCAGCTCTTTGGGCTGAGCTCGTTTGATTTTCCCAAAACACAGTGAGAGATTTAGAGCTCTTTTGAGCACATTTACTTTCCCAAAGAAATACAGTGAGAGTCTTAGAGCTCTTTTCGAGCTCATTTGCCTTTCCAAAAATACAGTGAAAGATTTAGAGCCCTTTTGAGCTCATTCGATTTTCTAATAAAAATACAGTAAGAGATTTAGAGCTCTTTTGAGCTCAGTTGCCCTTCCAAAAAAGCCAACAATCTTTGCATCCACTCTCAGAACAAATACAAAATACTAACAAAATTGTTAAAAAATCCTCAAGTTTCTCTTAGGTCAAAGGTAATAATAATATAATCACTGTCCTATATTCCGCTAGGCACTAGACTTTCTGAGCAGCCATGGGTACAGAATGCCCAGCGACGGTCGGTCCGGTTCTCATCTCGAGATCCTTGGTCCCCAGTTTTTCTCTCAACAGCTCGGCCATGCCGGGAAGACGGGAGAAGTAGTTCCGTGCAAAGTTGTGTTTTTGGGTGACTTTGTGTATGAATACTTGTCCGTAGCCCTGGGGAGGAGAAGGGTGTTTTAGATTTAGTTTCAGTAAGAGTTTTACGGCACTTGCAACATAATGAGGTCATATAAGTGCCGAAGATTAGAGAAGTCACAAGAGAGTAATAGACACAAAAAAGGAGGAGGAGAGATGAGGACGACAGACGTTTTATAGGAAAGAAGGTAGTGTTTTTTAACGATTCACTGAGATAAATAAATAAATAAATAAATAAATAAATACATAAATAAATAAATAAATAAGTTTGCTATTTCTTTTGACATGATATAACTAGACTTGCACAGAGAATAGGAACGTAGCCCCCCCACACACCCTCAAGTACAAGCAAAACCTCTCATACAAAC